TTTTTTAGCACATAACACATTTGACTGTTTACCTCATAACAGACGTTTAGGGCTTGTCCAATCTGATTTGGTAATGGAATAACCAAGAGTTTAATGTGTAGGAAGAACATGTCTTGGATCCCTTCTATCAGTTTTACTGCCATCTGGATGAGGGTCATCAGGCCCACAGTGTTTGTCATAATAGTCTTATTGATGACAAAGGTAAAAGTAATCATTTATAAACCCATTACTGATAAACGGCTCGGAAGCGTAGGTACTAACCAAGAAAAGATAGAGTGGAATACAGGTATCAGAGTTGAGAGCTTTGTGACTCATATATGGAGTTACTCATAGAGATAGAATAAGAAATGAGGATATAAGGAAGAGTCTTAAGAAGAGATATAAAGATAGAGTGGAATACAGGTATCAGAGTTGAGAGCTTTGTGACTCATATATGGAGTTACTCATAGAGATAGAATAAGAAATGAGGATATAAGGAAGAGTCTTGGGATGGATTCAATGCTAGACTTTACAGAGAATAGCTAGCAGAGGTGGTACGGATATGTCAGACTGATAGATAAAGAGAGATACTGAAAAAATATATGGAGTGGATACTAATAGGAATAATGTCTTAGGTAGGTTAAGGATGAGATGGAGACAGAATATTAAACAAGTAGGTGGAAATATAGGAACAACATTGGAGAGAGGTAAAGGTACAATAATTATATTTGGACAGGAAGGTGCGGTAAAGTTTTGTAGGATGATGCAAACATTAACCTAACAGGAGGAGGAAGAAGAAGATGGCATTTGCTACAAATGACACCACTTTCACAGCAGTCTATCTCTCTTTTTAAAGGAACCATTTTTAGTTCACCATTATGTGGTCTTCTTCCTTTAACTCCACATTTCATATGCCATAAGACATATTGTATTTATTTCGGTTGTGGAAATGTTGTCTTATTAACATTACTTCACTATGTGGGTCTTATAAACGTCTCATTAAGCAATCTAAAAAACATTTTTGGCTCCACAACTTGAGAAGTTCTAAATTTAATTAGATGATGTCATTGGTAATTTTATTAATTGGCTGATACATAAGGCATACTTAATATTAAAATAGACAAATAGTTTTAAACTTTTTTGGCTAAGGGCCCAGTTGTTAACATTGACGGCCCAATAAATACCTCTATTGCAAAAATCATCTGAAGAGATACTAAATAACTAAACTATTATCTATTTTCAAAGTCTGTTCACGTACCTTTCACACATTGATGAGACAATTTTTGGTCGCGACCCATGGGTTGAGAACGCTAGTGCAGACGTGTTAAGAGATTATATTTTGCATGTTGTACATTTTTGAATAGGGCAGCAACTGCAACAATAAATCAAGCATCTCAAGCCGTGGGGGCGTTATAATGTGACGGTCAATCCCACTATTCGTTGGTAAAAGAGTAGCCCAGGAGTTGGCGGTGGGTGGTGATGACTAGCTGCCTTCCCTCTAGTCTTACACTGCTAAATTAGGGACGGCTAGCGGAGATAGCCCTCGTGTAGCTTTGCGCGAAATTCCAAAAACTACTCGTTTTTTTATTCACATTAATATAAAAAATAGGCTTACGTAGCACTGTATTATTGTACTTCGACTCTTTTTTTTTCATACAAAACAAAAAGTTTCTGTAGGCTACCACGCCAATGTTTT